CACCATTATTTTGGCTCCAGAAGCTAAACATGAAAGTAGAAATTGCTTGCTGCCTAGCTGACATTCAGATTCATCGAGTCTACATACCCAGGGTTCCCTTGGCCATGGAGTTCAACTGTAAATGAAACGGGAACTTGAAGTCTGGCCAAAACGGTCCCATGGCCTAATTATTAGTACCTTTCTAAAGTAATCTTGATGATCATATAGGCCAGGAATACCATTTTTCAGTGGCCTAGATTTTGAAAAAGAACAAATCTTTTTGAAGAACAAAGATAACCCTTAATAACCTTGGTGTGATGAGTTTGTTTCTTTTGTTGTTATTTTTTTCTTTGTCTCTCCCACCATTTTTCCTACCACTCTGGATCCTACCCCTACCCAACCAGGCACAACTATGAAGCAGGAAAATTTTGACCTCGTGTATTCATTCAAAAATTATTTATTGAGAACATACTATATTCCAGTCCTAAAGTTATATTCTATAAAGACCATGATAAGCAAAATCAACATACTTTCTGCCATCATTAGGGCTTTAAGTTTGGAACGAATATGGTCAGTAATAAAGTAACTCCACATATCAATACCTAATTTTGAACTAAGAAGTGTGCTACAAAGATCAGGGTGCTAAGAAGCGTCCCCAAGAAAGTAACAGAGGGAGTAAGCTGTGAAACATGAGGAAGCATTGACTCAGAAGAGAGAAGTAGATAAGAACTGGGATGCGGTAGGAGGAATGTCTCCAGGCAGATGGAAAAGCAGGAAGAAACACAGAGCATTTCAAGAACTAGAAGAAGGCCACAATGGCTAAGCCCCAAGCTTGAGGAGTAGAACAGCGAGATGAGACCACAGGAGGCCACTGACCGACCAGCAGGCCCTCCCACAAGCCACAACTCTGAAGATTTTCTCTCCTTGTACTTTTTCTAATCCCCTCACCCCAGAGCCCTGCGTCCTCAGAATTCCCTCAAGCTTGCATCCAACTCTGCTTTGCATACTCTCCTCATGCATTTCAAGATTCTCTCTCACCCATTTTCTTCACTATGAAAACACCCAGGCTCTCATCCTGGGCCAGCCTGCAATAACACTATTGAAGAGCCCCTGTTCCTCCTGCTACTAGCACTGCCTCTAACACCCTGCTGCTTTTTCAGTGTAAGTGTCTTGCTTCTTTTTCTTTCTTAGCTCAAATTTATGCTCAGATCCTTCCTACTTTGTTGCTGTGTAAATACCTGGCTAGAGCCCACTCTGTAATCCTTCACAAAGACATTAGACATTAAAAAAGGAAGCAAGTCCTCTTTGTTTTAACCCACAACAAGGAACCCCCAGTCAAGGTTTCCAGATCTTTCATGGTGGGAAGACACTGGGCACCACATTTCTGGAACTCCTTTAGCCTGCACATAAGCAACCACTATTTTCCCCAAACTGTACCTACCTAGCTTCTAGAAGAAATATATGAGAGAAGGTCATCCACAGCTGTGTTCAATAAACCAGTGGTTCTCAACTAGGGGTGGGGATGATTTTGGCTCCCAGGGGACTTACAGCAATGTCTGAAGACATTGTTGGGTGTCTCTCTGGAGTTGGCAGGTGATAGTACCAGCAGCTAGAAGCAGCTAGAAGCAGCTAGAAGCTAATGTCCTGAACATTCTACGATGCACAGAACAACCCCCAAAGCAAAGAATTATTTGTCTCAAAATGTTAATAATGCTAAGATTGAAAAACCCTAAATAAACTTCTCCAACTTTGAAGTGACGGTTCAAGGTCTATACCCTTATCTCTGATTAAAATCATTAATTTGCTATAATTAATATCATTCGGTGGTGGCTAACCACCTCCACAATGCATTCACATAATTACTGCCTATATTTGTATGTATTTTTGTTGATTACACTTTCATCTTTGTCTCTCCACTTTAGATATTTCAGGCATTCACAAATAGATGACACTTCAATATACTTAATGCACATAGTAACCCAGTAAGACCTGAGCAGCTGGCATCCAGCAATCCAGCTCCGTGTTGGCAGAGATGATTAGATTGTTGAAAAGTACTAGGTCTCCCTTTTGCTCTGCACATTCTCTCTAGGTAGAGAACAGGACTATCGCAGTGGAACCCAGGGCTGCCCTGTGTAGAGGCAGACAAGGATCTTTAATATTCAAGATAGGATTGAACATGTTACAGTGACAAAAATACATCCCTGCTGTCACCTCTTTTCATGAGGATGCCAGTCACCCCACCCTTATGGCTTCATTTAACCTTAATTACTTCCTTTAAGTCCCCATCTCCAAATACAGTCACATTGGAGGTGGGGGCTTCAACATGTGAATGGGGAGGCACACAATTCAGTCTATATCAGTGGGCAAGTTTGGTGGCAGGCCAGTCAGAGAGGTGAAAGGTACAGCAGAAATCCAAGAAGAAAATGATGAGGCCTGCACTGAATTAGTCGGCGTAGGGATGAAGAAAGGGGGAAGTATCTGAAAAACAGGAAGTCAGTAGGACTGATGAGACACAGTAACTGGTTAATTGTGGAATGACTTAGGGAACTGAGTACTGGATAATCATGTGCTGAGGTGGAGGAAAAGCAGAACATGGGATAAAAATGAAGAGCTCACTTCTTCACTGTTGGTTTTGAGGTTCCTGAGGGACATATCAGTGGAGAGATTAAACATGCAATAGGTATGTAGCCTGGCTCAGGAAAGAAATCTAGTCTGTAAAAGGAGATTTGGGAATTGCCGACATGGATAGGGGCTGGCTGAGGACATGAGAATGGATGAAATCACCTAAGAAAAGTAAGTAGAGTGAAAAGAAAAGGTGGCCCAAATCCAAACCTCAGAAAGAAACCATTTAAAGAGTGGATAGAATAAAAGTTGCTTGTGAAGGTGCCTGAGAAAAAAGAACTAGGAAAGTAATTGAAAAATCAAGAGCATATGAGGTCACAGAAGCCAGGGAGGAGAGCTCAGGAAAGGCCTGGTCAGCAGGGCCAAATGCCACCCAAACTGAACAGCGTGGACTTAAAAATGGATGCAGCAGGCAGATAGGAGGGACCCCCATGGAAGAGATCTAGCACAGCACAAGAGGCAGAAGCCATGCTCAGGGGTTGAAACAACGGGGCACAAAGAAGGGGTGACATAGAGTAAAGTAACCCTCTCAATTTGCCAAGTGAAGGAAATGACAAGGGAAGAATGGAAATGAAGGGGAACGTAGAAGCACATTAAGGACTGGTGTTGTTCACATAAGAGGTTTAAACACATTTATGTGCTGAGGGGGATGTGCCAGTAAACAGTAGATTGAAAATACAACCAAGTGTAGGAAACTGAGGTCATAAGGATTCCGAGGAAGCAGGGAGTACAATCCAGGGTCCAGATGGAAGGAACGCATCAGGCATAAGAACCTTTTGCACAGACAGATTATAGCCCTGAAGTCCAAAACCTCAACATGCCCATGCTCTTACTTCTCCCTCCCCCATCTTCGCATTACGACTTCTGCTTTACTAGAGCCTTTCCCCTGTTCAGATATCTCCTTCTTTTCAGAACAAACACATTTTTCCAGCTGAGCTATCATTAGCTAGATATCTGGGACTTAACACAGTCCCAGGGGCCTAGTGGTTTCAATAAATATTTTTGGGGGCCTTCGCTTATTCAGTACAGACCTTGTACCTTTCCTTGGACACCAGAGAATGGACCATAAAGAAAAGGTGACCATACTTGCAGGGAAGGCCTCTGGGAAAGATTCATTATTCATTCTACAAACATTAACTGAGTGCATGGTGCTACCTTCAGCCACAGAACAGATGGCCCAAAGCAGCTGATTCATAAGGACTCCTCCAAACTGGAGGATTCCCTGCTCCCCACAAATGACAACTCAGTGGTGTCTACACGCACCCATCTGCCATGAACTGGGAGCCCAAATATTCTCTCTGAATCCTCGGCATCGAGAAGCAGATCACTATCCATTTTTCTCTCTGTCAACAGGAGCTGAGGAATAATTATGCCCAACCGACATAAGCGGCTCCAATTGCCTTCAGAATTTGGCCTGAAGCCCAATTATATTTCTCTAGCTTGTGCCACAGTACATGAACAGTATGATTTGTCTTATTTCTTTCTCCCACTTTTTAGAATATTCAAGAAATTTTGGCTCACTGAACCCAACCAAGCATGTTCTTTAAGAATAATTTTGAGCACGATCCATAAGCCAAGTTAATATGATATATATTCTGAGAGAAATTCAGTTGAAAGCATCTAGATATATTATTTTTAAATTATATGCACATGAGTAAAGTATATTGCACACAAATAATTTTAAAATGCTGTTGCTAGGTTGAATATAAATTAAGGTTGTAAATGTGTACGTGTAGGGACATGCACGTGCGTGTGCGCACACGCACGCGCGCGCGCACACAGTCTCAAATTCACCCCTGAGCTGTTTTGTAAAAATTATTGTCTAAGCTGGTTGTTTGAAATTTAGATTGTATGTTTCCACAGAAAATGCCGTGAATGTTGGACAGCTTCCCAGTGTTATCTCTAAAAACCAATTTTACCTATAATTTAGATGCGCTAGGTAGGACTGGTCTGATTCTTGGGGAGAGTGGACTGACTATGTGTTCAATAGGGAGGAAAAAGAGATCAGGGGAGCATCGGATAGAAAAAACTTAGCTCCAGCTAGAATTTTGCATTCTTCCCTGTCCAAGCCCCCCATGTTGCACTAAGTCTGATGTTCTGGAATCCTTTTCCCAAGCTCAGACCTGCACTTGATGTCCAAGTCTCCATGTACCAACTGTGCTTATCCCTGCCCATGACCAAAACCTGTACCCCCCTCAGAAGCACGAATCTTACCCCATGAACAGACCAGCAATGTCCATGCACTTGTCCTCGAGAACCACTGGTGATACCAAAGCCAAAGGAGGGTTTGTTTGGCTCATTCACTGTAGGCTTGCTGAGTCTTGCTTTCTTTTTTCAAACTGTATTAGATACCAATATTCTAAAATCAAGAGTAGAGAACAGATACTACTAATACTCACCAACATCCATTTGTCTTCTTCTGAGCACACTTCCCTTCGTAGTCGACAGGGCCACATGACTGCCTCTGGCCAATGGACTGTAAGCACAAAGGACGGGTCTTTGAGGCTGAGGCAGGGAAAAGCTCCTGTGTGTGTCCCCCAGTCTTTCTGTTTCTCTGTGTATTAGTTTCCTGGGCTGCTGTAACAACATGCCACAAGCTGAGAGGGTAAAACAACAGAAATTACTGTCTCAGGGTTCTGGAGGTCTAGAAGCTTGAGATCAAGGGATTGGCAGGCCATACTCTCTCGGAGGGCCCTAGAGAAGGATCTGTTCCAGGACTCCATCCTTGCCTCTACCAGTGCTTTGGCTTGACTCCACATCACCCCACGTCCTTACATGGCATTCACACTGTGTCCATGTCTCTGTGTCCAAAATTTCCCCTTTTTAGAAGCACAGCAGCCATATTGGATTGGTGTTTACCTGATGACCTCTCTTCAACGTGATTACTTCTGTAAAGACCCTGTCTCTAAATAAGGTTACATTCTCAGATACTAGGGGTTAAACCTCCAACATATCTTTTTAAGGGGATATAGTTCAGACCATAATACAAAACAATTCAACCCACTGTGAACATGGAGACCTGGTGTTGACATAGCAGACCCTGGACTGCTGGCTCCCAGACTCTGAGAGGACTTCACATGAGGGAGAAATAAATTTTTGTTAAGCCACTGGAACCTGGGGGTTGTCTGCTATCACAGCATGGGCTAGTCTAACCACCTAATTATACAGGAATATTTCATGTAAAAATCCAGATTTCTTCCTTGGAAGATCTAGCCTGCTCACCTCAGTGAGCAACCACAGCAAACAACTGAAGAGTAGCAGTTTCCCTTAGACTTAACCAAATACTTCTCCTAGGCCCCAGTTCACTACAATCCCCACTACTCCCTATCATCACTCCTCAATCACTTTCCATTCCATATCTGTTCTTATTTTCCTTAATCTCCATGCTTTATATGATTACATTACCTGCCTAGCCTCCTTAAGCTTGTGAATCCACCAAGTCTGCTCTGTACTGGTCCTATTAATCATGGCTGCCTCCTTATTTCCCTTTCTGAACTTCTAAATTATAATGTGTGTGTGTGCATGTGTGTTCTCAGTAGCTCTATAGATAGCTGCAGGTTGTATTGGAGGAGTAAGTCCTTCTAGCTCAGAGTTCATAATTACCTATTTGCCTGTTCACTTTTAATGTAGAGGCATATTATCTTCTCTTTCTCAATGAAGAAAGTAAAGAGTAATGAATTAGGTGATGTACCCACTGTCCCAGAATGGGAAATTGGTGAAGACAGAGTTTGCAGCCCCTAGGACTCAAAAGCAGTGTCCTTTCCAACCTCTGGGTCTCCATTTCCTCACAGAAAGTGAAGCTATTAGATAAGAAGTAGGAACTTCCAAACTTAAGTTTAGTTGTGGAAGTTTTATTCTAGTCAAAGCTCAACATGGAGCAGCCAAAAGTAAGTAAGTGGCTCTGGCCAACCTAGAGGTAAGCTCCCAAGTCAGATAGGTGACTTTTTGATACCAGCATATGTGTTGACCAAGGAACACTTTGACTCAGGAGAAAATACAATCAATTAAGCTTCCAGCTTTTAAAAAATTGCCAATTTTCTTTTTTAATTACCAAAGGTAGTAGATATATCCACGTCCAAAAGAGATCTCTACTTCCTAATCTCCAGAACTTATGAATATTACCTTATGTGGTAAAAGACTGAATGTTGCCTTATTTGGAAAAAGGATCTTTGCAGATATAATTAAGTTACTTAAATTATGGGGCTTGAGATGAGGATGTGATTCTGGATTATCTGGGCAGGCCCTAAATCCAATGACAAGTATCCTTATAAGAAACAGAAGACAGACACAGAAGAAAAGGCCATATGAAAACATAGGCAGAGATTGGAGTTCTGCAGCCACACACCAAGAAATACCTGGATCCACCTTCTGGAAAGGAAAGATTCAGGGAAAGATTCTCCCTTAGAAACTTCAGAGGAAGCACAGCCCTGCCGACACTTGATTTTGGATTTACAGCCTCCAGAACCATGAGAGAATAAATTTCTGTTATTTTAAGCAGCCAAGTGTGTGGGAATTTGTCACAGCAGCCAGGAAACTAATACATCAAGTAATGTGGAAAACTTAATAAGTCCATATTATACCTGAGCTTTACCATGCTGCCAAAATCATCCAGGGTGGAAAAGTAGAGATGAGATCAAGTTGAAGGATGGTGGATGAGGCTCAGAGACAGAATGAGGCTCAGAAATTCTGAGAAGTTTTTATAACCTTGGCTGGCCCATGTCTCAAATTCATTCTTCCATCAGAGTTAAAGACACTTTGTGTTCAGATATTTAGCCCTTTTCTTCTCAGCTCCAGACAGCACAGGAAATTGCCAATTATATTTTTAGAAGTTCTCCCAGAACTTTTGATAATATACATTTTCATTTCATAATATTCCTATGTAATGCTGGTTTGTGGAGATAAGCCTTGTGGTCCTTAGAACTTATCCCAGTTTAATCAGACTTCTAAGAAAAAAATCTTCAATATTTTTCTGAGTAAAAATAATAAAATGCATAAAAACTCAAACAATAAGTCAGTGAATAAAATAGAAAATGAAAATGGCTGTAACAGGAATAGGGGTTAGGGTAGAATAAAAACCAAGAGTAGCTATTGCACACATTATTGATGATAACAACCAGTGATTTTATGGTTTTATAGGGTCATTTTGTACAGCCATGCCATGCCATGATATCTAAATCAGAATGATTGAGCCAAGATGAATCTTGTATCAAGACAGCCTTATCAAAGTGCCTGCTTTGCCTAGTGAACTATATATTCTCCCTGTCCTTACAACACCCAGAAAGTCCCTTAAGAAATTTCCAGAAACTCCTAAGAGATCTTTGGGCCACAGTTTGAAAAATGTTGGGTGAGATGCTCTTAAAGTGTCTCTCAGCTATAACATTCAATAAATGTGTGTAGTTGCAGATGTGCTTAATAGGCAGTCATAAAATAACACAATACAAGAGAAAGTTATTGGAATGGATACCCATAAACCAGTAAAAGCCTGCCAGCAATCAGAAGACTGGTAGTTTCTGCCTCTATTGATACTTGTGATTGCAACTTAATGATGTTTTTACTTAACTGATGGCAGCTGTCTCCATGAGAAGCTATTAGCACATTAGGTCTTTATTAAGACTGGCAAAGTAATAAATAATGTTTGTGACTTCTCCTTTGTTCACAAGGTTAATTGTTGTTTAATAATATTCCCGTGATGTGTTAAGAGCTGCTAAGGAATTATATATGTAAACTACTTAGCTAAAAAAAGAAGTCTTAACAATCTACTAACTTTCAAGTTGTTGATAGACATACCTGGTGGTAAAGTACTGGGTATTATCATGATTACCCAGGATTTTTCATTTATTCTAATGTTTGTTGTTGTTGTTGTTAGAATCAACAAATGCTTATTCAGCAAAATACTAAGCTAGAAGCTCTGGGAGGTACAAAGAAATATAAGATACCATCAATGTTCTCAAGAAATGTTCAATGTGATCGAGGAAGAAACTATACACCATGATAAGTAGATTACTGAAATGAGCTATACTCAGAGTATACAAAGAGAAAACTAGTTAAGCTTGGTTATAATATATAATCTTTTTCATACATTGCTGGATTTGGTTTGCTAAAATTTGTTTAGAAAAATTTTTAAGTCTGTGCCATTTGTTTAAGCCGCTGTTACTTGGTTACTTTGCTACTCACTGCCGAACACACCCTCCCTTACCTATGTGTGCTCCCTTAGACTCCACTCTCCTCTGAGTAGGACAGAACCTGAAAGATTATGAATTTTGATCTCTCTATCCTGCCAAAGAGGAGGGTAAAGCCCAAAGAGATGAATGGATTGGCCAAGATAATGTGGTGGCAGCAAAGCCTGGACCCACTAGGACTCAGGTCACCCAATCTCTCATTTCCCGAGGCCTTAAAAAATGGTTTCAGCTGTGCCCTTTACAGTTTGCCCAGTTTGGCCATATCACCTCAAATCCCAGCACACAAGTTAGATACACAGGCAGAAAGGGAAAAAAAAGATGGTGATAGTGGTGCTAATGGTAGTGGTAAAGGTGGTAGTGATGATGAATGAGGGGAAGGAGATGAGGAGAAAACAGCAATTTAGTGCGAGCTTAAGATGGACTAGGTGCTTTACAAACACATCTATTGTAAGCATTACAGTATCTCTCCAAGGTAGGGACTAAAAGTATTCTAACTTGACAGGTGAGGAAACAGTGGCACTAAGCGTCTGAGGCTGCACAGTAAGTGGCTGCTAACGAATGTGAAATCCCAGACTGGTCTGACATCAGAGTCCGGATGCTAAACCACAACACATGTAATACATTAGGCCTTGTGACTTCTGGAGAAGCTGCCCAGCCTATGAGTCTGAGAGGGACCAGACAGGGTCATGGGACAATCCTTCTGGGTGGTGGCTGAGAGAGCTCTGAGAAAGGCTGATTGTTAAAGCAGCCCCAACTGGCATTTCTGTGTTCTTGCTCTCTGTGGTACATTCAGTTACCAAGACAATCATCTCAAATAGGAATTCCAACGAAGCTCAGAGCAAGTTAATTAGCCGTGCTGCAGACACATTAAAACTCTGGGAGCAGTTACCATAGTAGGTAACCTTGCATGTTTTACAAAGTGTGGCGTTTTCATTTCAGCTCATGTTGAATAATGAATAATTTTCCCTGCCCCCTGCTAGACAGTGAATGATGAGAAGCCCTTTGGTAATTCAGTGATGTTGAATAAATCTGATGGTAGAACATCTACCTCTTTCCCTAGGCCACCATCCCCTTATTCTCTGTCTTTCCCTTTTCCCCTCTCCCTCCGCCACAAATTCTATCACAGACCTTGAGAGGAAATGGCTGCTGAGGCAGCACCTGCCAGGCCCTCTGTGTGGGACCATGGATGGGAGGGTATGGGGAGCTACCAGGCATTCCTGGCAACCCAGATGGTGTGGTACAAGCCAGCAGTCTCTGTCAGCCCATCCTGAACCCCTCTTGCCTGTCCAAGGAAGGC